AGCGTGAGCAGGGGAGGGTCATAGAGAGAGGGAGTCACAGACTGAAACAGGCTCCAGGCTCTGAGCTGGCAGTCAGCACAGAGCCCGACGCGGGGCTCGAACCCACGAACCGCGAGATCACGACCTAAGCGAAAGCCGGACGCTTAACCGACTAAGCCACCCAGGCGCCCCACCGCCACGTTCCCATTTCACCCATAAGCAGGGCCAGCTTCCAGCAGGGAAAACCCTGGGTCCGAGAGGATGGGCGTTGCTCTGATTGCTTTTGATTTGTGTGGCTATTGCCAACTTGCTCTCCGCGGGCGGGTTGCTCACACCCACAAGCCGGGTGAGGCCTGTTTACTGAAACCCATGCCCTCCCCAACGCTCCATGATACTTTTTGGTCGTTACCAGTACAAGTCAAATGCCATCTGCATTTCTCTAATGGTCAATGAGTTTAGGCATCTTTTCATGTATTTGAGAATCCTTGGGATTTCCTTTCCTGTGAAATGTCCGTACAATTTTTCTGTCCCTTTTTTATCGGGTTGCTAGTATATTGTTTATAGACTTGTAGATATATATTTTTTTTAATGTTTATTTTTGAGAGAGAGAGAGAGTGAGACAGAGTACAGGCGGGAGAAGGGCAGAGAGACAAGGAGACACAGAATCTGAAACAGGCTCCAGGCTCTAAGCTGTCAGCACAGAGCCGGATATGGGGCTTGAACCCACCCACTGTGAGATAATGACTTGAGCCAAAGACTCAAGAGGCTCAACGGACTGAGCCACCCAGGTACCCCTACATTTCTAATTCATATTTAAATGTATTGGGGTTTTCTTTTCTTTCAAAATTTTATTTAAAATTTTAAAAATTTTTGAAAAAATTCTAGGTGTCCCTAGACTTGTAAATTTTAAATCTACAAGAAAATGAGCCCTTTCTCTGCAATATGAATTATAAATATTTCCCCTAGATTGTCATTTATCTTTTGCTTATGTTTTCTTTTACCATGGATACATTTTACATTTCTCTAATTTTTTTTAAGGTTTTTTATTTATTTCTGAGAGAGAGACAGTGTGAGCAGGAGAGGGTCAGAGAGAGAGGGAGACACAGAATCTGAAACAGGCTCCAGGCTCTGAGCTGTCAGCACAGCCCGACATGGGGCTCGAACCCAGAAACCGTGAGATCATGACCTGAGTGGAAGTCAGACACTTAACTGACTGAGCCACCCAGGCACCCCTACATTTCTAAGTCATATTTAAATGTATTGGGGTTTTCTTTTCTTTCCAAAATTTTTTTAAAATTCTAGTCATCTTTCTTTCATGACTTCTGTGTTTTGTTTTCATACTCAGAAATGTCCTCCTCACTGCAGACGATTTTTGTTTAATTTTTTACTGTTTTATTTATTTTTGAGACAGAGAGAGACAGAGCATGAGAGTGGGAGGGACAGAGAGAGAGAGAGGGAGACACAGAATCTGAAGTAGGCTCCAGGTTCTGAGCTGTCAGCACAGAGCCCGACACGGGGCTCGAACCCACAAACACGAGATCAAAGTTGGAGGCATAACCGACTGAGCCACCCAGGCGCCCCGACTACAAACTTTTTTAAAGTTTATTTATTTTTGAGAGAGAAAGAGAGAGCAGAGGGGAGGGGGCAGAGAGAGAGAATCCCAAGATCTCGCGGGGCACAATCTCATGAACCATGAGGTCATGACCTGAGCCGAAATCAAGAATCAGACACTTCGGGGCGCCTGGGTGGCTCAGTCGGTTAAGCATCCGACTTCAGCTCAGGTCATGATCTCATTGTCAGGCTCTGTGCTGACAGCTAGCTCAAAGCCTGGAGCCTGTTTCAGATTCTGTATCTCCCTTCTCCCTCTCTCTCTGACCCTCCCCTGCTCGTGCTCTCTCTCTCTCTCTCTCTCAGAAACAAAACATAAAAAAAAAAAAAAGAATCAGACACTTAACTGACTGAGCTGCCCAGCCCCCTCCTCATTCCCAACTACTTCTGTGATATTCTTGCCAAAAATGCATACCCTCAATCTAATTTCAAGAAAACACCATACAAATCCAAATGGAGGGACCTTCTACAAAACCACTCACCAGGACTCTCCAAATGAGTCAGGATGGTGAAAGGAAGGAGAAAGAAAAAAAAAGGGGGGGGGGCTGGAAAAGCCTGAGAATGACAACTAAATGCGATGTGAAATCCTGGATTAGAGCCTGAATCGGAAAAGAGGCACTAACGAGAAAGCTGGTAAAATGCAAGTAAGATCTGTGCGTTAGGTAATAGCACAACACCATCGGCGCTAATTTTCTGGTTTCCATGACCATGACCCTGCTATGCAAGATGTTAACATTTGGAGGAGCTGGGGGTGAAGGGCACAGAGGAAATTTGTACTAATTTGCAACTTTTCTGTAGGTCTAAAATTAGTCAAGAAAAAGGGTTAAAAATGTCAAGTTTTTTTAAGTACTTATTTTTGAAGGTTTTATTTACTTAGAGAGAGAGCACCAGCGAGCAGGAGAGCAGCAGAGAGAATCCCAAGCGGGCCCTGCGCTGTCAGGGCAGAGCCCCGACGAACCAATCTGTGAGATGTGGCCTGAGCCAAACCAACAGCCGGAGACTTAATCCACTGGGCCCCCCGGGCCGCCCCTCCATCTTGCCCATTTTCAAGTGTACAAGTCAGTAGTGTCAAGTACATTTCTGCCCTTCTACAACCAATCTCCAGAACTCGATTTTTCATCTTGCAAAACTGAAGCTCTCCACCATTGAACAACTCACCCCCTTCTGTTCAGCCCCTGGCACCACCCCCATTCTACTTTCAGTCTGTGACTCGGACTTCCCTTGGTACCTTGTTTAAGCAGAATCAAGCAGTATCTGTCTTCTGGGACTGGCTTACCCTGATTGACAAGCCGCTAATTACACGATAAAAGGAAAACTGTATTTCTGATGCTAACTGGCAAAGCTTCTGGTGTTGACTACCAGACGAGAGGGATGGTGCAAGTGTTCGTAGTACCTGCACTTGGAGTGTGGGTGAAGGACGAGGCACAGAGAGGTTAAGTGACCTGTTGCCAATCACACAGCCACGAAGGAGGGGGGTGCGCTTTGAACCCGGACTGACTCCACGGCTTGTTCCCACAGTCTTTGCCCTGGACTGGGGCTCACGTAAGAGCCAACGCGGAAAACAGCGGCATCCAGATGGTGTTTGCAGACAAGAGGGAGATACAGGTATCCAAGGAGCAGGGATCAGCAACACAGAAGGGGGAACTGGGGGAAGTGACCCAGTGGCATGTCCCCAGTGACTGACCCGTTGTAGGTCACGACCAATATTAGATGAACCTGAGGGGCGCCTGCGGGGCTCAGTTGGTTAAGCATCCGAGTTCAGCTCAGGTCACGATCTCGCAGCTCATAGGTGTGAACTGAGAGCCCCACATCAGGCTCTGTGCTGACAGCTCAGAGCCTGGAGCCTGCTTCAGATTCTCTCTTTCCGTCCCTCTCTCTCTCTCTCTCTCTGTCCCTTCCCTGGTCACACTGTCTCTCTCAAAAAAAAAAAAAATTAAAAATATATGAGAGGAGCCTAGGAAGCAGCAGCCAGAACAGTGGGAGGTAAACCAGGGGAACTATTTTTCAGACATCAAGGAAGAAAAGCTTTCAAAAGAGAGGAGTGGTCAACATATTACACGGCGATAAGAGGCCAAGCCAAAGGGCGAGTGGCACCCTCTGGATTTAGAAGCAAGGATTGGAGACGAGCAGTTTCCTGGGAGGGGAGGGGCTGGAATTGCTGATAAATATTTAACAACCAACTCTCCGGAAGTGCCATGCGGTTATGTGTGTACAGAGGCTTGTTATCAATCTTACTGGTACAAAAGATGTGGAACTCAGAATTTACAAATAATAGCAAAATCTACAATATTCGTTACTGTAAATTCCAGTCCTGGACCCATGACTTTCCAAGCAGAGTTGTCGCCTAACTCCGACTGAGGTTCCAATATGAGTCCTGGTTGATCTTTTTATTTACATTTTCGAGTGAGACAAAATGAATCAGTGAAGATACACTGAACCTTCGCTGATTCCTCAATGACGGGACTGACTCCTTTACTGAATCTGTAACAGTTTTCAAATTCCAGGAGAATATTTTCCTCCATCTTCTGTGCTATTCACAATGGAACAGTTACAGACGTGACACTTTTATGTTTAACCTGCATTATTAACATTGTCTCCATCATCTTTTAATTTTTTTCAATTTAACGTTTATTTATTTTTGAGAAACAGAGCACGAGCCAGGGAGGGGCAGAGAGAGGAGACACAGGATCCCAAGCAGGTTGCAGGCTCCCGGCTGTCAGCACAGAGCCCCAAGCGGGGCTCGAACCCACAAAGCGGGAGATCATGACTTGGGCTGAAGTCCGATGCTTAACTGAGCCACCCAGGTGCCTCCATCATCTTCTTAAATCTAGACAATCAACAAAGCTCCATAGGCTGTGGTTGCCCATCTCTGTGGTGTAAATACTCCTACCAGAGCCAATTTCAAAATACCAACGTGATGCTTCCACACGAGCTGGAGGAGACGCACAGCGGGAACACATCCTGACACAGGACTCCCACTAGGCGGATACAGTCCATGCAAATAACCTCAAGAGCGAGCACATAATAGTAAACTGTAGGAAATGACACTGTGTGTTAACCACACTGACTAAAAATAAATAGATTTCTACAACCAGAGAGAGAGAGAGAGAGAGAAGAAACAAAATAATCAGGAAGTAATGAGTTTGAGTATTTATGACATCGGTTTTTACATAGAAGTTAACTGTTCGTTTTTATCATTTCTGATCCCAGCTGTTTCACAAGGAGCCCACAATGTTTCTGAACAACAAAACCCCGGCTTTCACCGATCCGTGAGGCACGGGGGTGGGGCGACAGCCGGACTGCAGTGGGATGTGACTTTCCGGAGCCACACTCGAGGACCTCAACTCCAACTGCTCCTAGAGAGGCAGTACTCCTGCCACCTCGGGCCAATGGATCCCTGCTCCAGAGCATCGGTAATTCTCCATTGTAGCTCTGACCACCATTTGCTCTTCAGATCCCCGGGAGCAGGGGAAGGGGTTTCTTGTCTGTCTCCAGGAGCCACCATACCTGCGGTGGCCGGGGCTGAGCCCGCAGCATATTCCCAACTATTCCCTCGGTCAGTTCCTCCTCCAGTGCTTTGCATGTAGTAAGTGCTCAGTAGTATTTATTGAAGGGGTGCTCGGGCTGAAGGGCACTTCAAGAAAACAGTACCTTGTGAACATTGATCCCGTAACAAGGTAGCACTTTAGACTCTCGTAGTGTTTGGAACAGCGGAAAAGCTGTGCCAGGTTCCCTTGCAGGTGGCCCTTGTGGCCACGAGGAGATGGACCGTTTGATAACATCCCTCCCGTTTGATAACATCCCATTCGGGACACCACGTACGGGGGAATATTAACAGCGATTTCATAGAAGCCTGGAAACACACCAAACCGCCCCTCCCTAATGAACAATTAACTAACCTCGCGGAATCGATTCCTCCGTAATAATTAACTAAGACCCTGGCGTTCAGAAACACGCAGAAAACCACACATGTAGCAGCACCTGTCACACACTGAAACACGCACCACCCTGCGTTGCACACTAGTTACTCGCGGGACTGACTACTTATTCACCCGAAAACCTACATCTACCACTTGCTACGTGTGTAAAGAAGGATCGTCAGGCAGAATCAGATAGGAGTAATCAGGGTGTTGCAAGTCCTGATCACGCAGAGACGCTAATCACGCATCATGCGATCTCCAATCATCATGTTCCGATCTGCCCTCCCGGAGGAGGAACAGGTAAGGATTATCCTACCTGACGATAAACGGAAACCTCTGTGCATCCCTTACTCAGGGAAAAAGGTCCCGCTTACAGCTAGGGTGAGTAAATAACTGGCTCGCCTGAGCAACCGAAGTTATTCAGGGTTTTCCGTTCCTGCTGCTACGTTTATCTGCAGATACTGAAAAGCATTTCGTTCCCGATCTGACTGCCAAAAAGAGATAAAACAATTCCTCCCAGAATGCTTCACTCACGAGCTTGGCACCCAAATCGCGAGGACTCTTTATTTACATATCTCCGCCCACCCCCTTCCGCCAGACGTCTACCGTAATACTCAAAATAAAAGCGATACGTATGATCTTACAGACTGCAAGGCTGGAAAGCAGCCTTCTGTTTCTCTAGAAGTTTGGCCACTTCAATTCTCCCCTAGATTTGTTGTTAAGTCTTGATCTTACTCTGAGACATATTTTATTACAAAGCACTAAAGAAAAACGCTGATAATCCCAGACTCGAATGATAATTACCCTAACACTGACATCCTCAAATGCAGTTTGAGGGCTGAAGACTGCCTTCCTCCGCACAGGAATGGTGAGTGGCCCCTTGCTCCTCGAAACGTCATTCGTATGTTCCCGTCACGAAGGTATCAGAAAGGCTTCTTTTTCAGTCCAAAGACGCTGATGAACAATGCCATTTCAGTGACAGCTGGGAGGGCGCTGTGGACAGTAGGTGGTTGGTTCAAGGCCTTTCCAATAAAAGTCCCCAAATCCCCAAACTAGAAGCTCCACCCCCAAAGTGTAGGAGAAGGGGAATTCTAAAAACTGCAGGATGTTGAGTGGATCTGGCATCTCATACATGAAGTAAAGGACTGGGTGGGGGAAACCTCCAGATTGAGTAAACCTTCCTTCCCTACCCCCAAACATTGGTGGTTACCATACCTGCAGAAGACGAAAATGTACCAGTACGTGGTACACTCCCAACGCTCGAATATGAAAAAGGACAGGGCCACAGATGCACTACAGTGAGCCCCAATGGCTTGGGAATGCACCAGGGTCAAGGAAAGCCTTTGGTTCAATAGTTCACGACGGGCCAGAAAAGGCCATTGATTGGCAGGGCACGCATCAGGTTCGCTTCTTGCTCCTTCATCACATTGCAAAGGCCAGACTTCTGGGTTTTGGGACAGCCAAGTGATTAGAGACCAGAGCTGAGCCTGCACAGCTGGTACCCCAGGCTACCCCAGCCTCATATCTAGGGGCCAGCCTGGACCCTTCCGGTGAGGTAGGAGCAAGTTCCCCATTGCACACCATGAACGGGCTGGGGCATGAAGCTTCCGGTTTTTGATTTCTGCTCAGGTCACGATCTCACTGCTCTTGAGACGGAGCCCTGCGTCTGGCTCCACTCTGGCAATGTGGGGCCTGCTTGGGATTCTCTCTCTCCCTCTCTTGCACACTCTCTCTCAAAACAAATAAATAAACTTAAAAAAAAAAAAGTGTTCACAGTGATTTAATTCACTCTGCTGGAGTCACCGTCTGGCTCCCTGACCCTCTCAGTCTACAATTCAAGTGTCAAGAGCCTTCCCTGATCTCCATCTTCCTTATTTCTCTGTCTCTTCTGAGCTTCCATAGGGCTTCATATCTTCACACGCTCCTAGACCACAGCGCTTATCACACTGCATGACAGATGTCCGCATACCTGCCTCCTCCTCAAGTTAGAAAACTTGAGTTTTACTCCCAGACAGGATCTCCAGCGCCTGGTGCACAGCTGGAGCTTAACCAAGGCTCGAAGGTCGTCCTAAACCTTCCACGGTGCCTACGGGGATCTATCAGCTAGACATGCTGCTGGCCCGCTAGGGCGCACGCTATTGTGCCCCAAGGGCCTGGTTAGGTGGCCGAAAGGGAGTCCCGATGGAAACAGACAATGCGGAAAAGGTGCGAGGTGCGCAGGCTAAAAGGATACAGATGAGGCTCTGGGTGCTGTTGAACATGGAAACCCCTGAGAAGAAACCGGCCAGCTCCACGGCAAAGAGGCCCAGGGTGACGGACAGCGCTACCACCAGCCTGCAGACACGAAGGGGGTGGGCTCAGGCCTTCGGGGCTCCTGCAAAGCCCCCTCCACCCCGAGCAGTGCTGAATTCTGACCACCCTGCCCCGAGTGCTCACTGGACGTCCTGCTTCTCGTACTCCTCGGGGGTGAACGTGAGAGGCAGGCAGGCCTGGATGTTGCTGTCCTGGCGCGCGGGGCGGAGAGGAAGAAAGTGAAAGAGGGGCGCGCTGCGGGGCAGCCCTGGGGTCCGAGGGGGATGGGAGGGCACGCCCGCGTCAGGCCCCGGGGAAGGGGCGTAGTGGGGCTGGGACCACCCCAAGGCGGGAACGGGGTGGGGGGCGGGAGGAGGGTGGCCGTGGGTCTTACCCGCGACCAGAACAAGGTGATGACGACCACCAGATGCGCCAAGAGCGTCAGGAAGCGAGAGGGCACCAGCCCCGAGATCCGGCCCATGGCCCCCCTGGAGCAGAGGCCGTGGTCTGCGGGGCTGGAGGCTCGGGAATGGCCACTCCTCAAGGCTCCTCAAGTCTCGAAGGCTAGCACGCAAATATTCGACGGGCGCCTCCTTCCCGCTCGCGCTGGCGCCGCCCGGTTGCCTTAGCAACCGCGTAAGCAGGCGCTGCGGCCGGATCTCGCAAAATCTCGCGAGGGCTGTAAAGTCTCGAGCCGCAGGCGCTGCCGCAGAAGGCGCTAAGCGGGGGTCGGCCGCCAGGGGTGCGGCTCGGACCCCTGTCCCCCGGGCCCCGTCCCCGCTGCGAGGCCCGGGAGGTCCTTCCGCGCGAGGGGCTTGCTGCAGCCCGCTGTCCCCGCCAGGCCTAAGGCGGGGTCTCTCCCTCCCTCCTCCGCATCCCTTTAGCCCCCACTGCCCTGGGCACGTGGGAGAGAAACGTGCAGACGTGGATGTCCCTGCGTTGTCCCGTCGTCACTTATTAGATGGCCGCCGAGCCCCTTGTTGTCGGAGGACCCCAGACCGGAACCTTCTCTGATGCTCTTCCCCTCCGCTCCCCTGCCCTCCCAGCCCCAGTTTGGCGAGAGCATCGCGGACAGCGGCCCGCTCGCAAGGGCATGGAGGCGAGGAGCGCCCGGATTTCCTGATCTCCCTGAGATACGGGCACTCGCCTTTGCCCAGCTACTTTCCCAAGTTTGTCTTGCTATCAGCGACCTCACTGACCTTGGGCCCTCGCTGGGATCCTTCCAGAACGGAAAGTTCTCGCTCCTTCTCGCTGCTCACCCTCAAGTCAAAGCATCCCCGGGACCTTCCTGGCCCATTGCCTAGAACACCTCTCTTTCTCTATGGTCTGTCTGAGTGTTTTTAGCTCTGTCTAAGCTAAACACACAAACCCAAGGGGCCTTTCTGATTTCTTCATTCAACAAATATTCACTGACCAGCTAGCATGTGCTGGGCTCTTGGTCTGGACAAACAAGAGGTGAGTCAGGGACGACACACATGCAAACAAACGAATTCACACAGTAATCCAATACCGTAAATAACATTTTTAAAAAGGAAACTCTAGAATAATAGAGCAAGCAATGGCTCTCTGAAAAAGAAGTCCTTTATCCTTAAACTTTTTTAAGGAACTGTGGTCAAAATTGAGAGGAAACACATCTATTTGAGGACCCCACTAGAATACATAGATTTCCTTTTCCTAAACCAAGAGGTAAAATAATTCAGAACCCAATGAGATAGTGAGATTGCATCAAAGACATGAAAGACAAAGACTGAAGAACTCTTCCAACTTAGGGAGAGCAAAGAGATGCGACATATTTGACATGAGAAATATAATGTATGATCCCAATGGATCTTGGACCGGAAAACAAAAAGCAACCACTTTCTTTTATTGTGAAGGACATGATGGATCCATTGGCAAGTTTGGGTAAGGCCTCTAGATACCAGTAGATATCAGCGTTATCAGTGTTAATTTCCTGATTTTTGATAAAGTCTACTGCCTTTATGGAAGAGAATGCCCTGGTTAGAAAATACATGCTGCAAAAAGAAAAAGAAAAAAGAAAATACATGCTGCAGTTTTAGTAGTAAAGGAGTATTATGTTTGCAATTTACCATCAAATGGTTTAGAGAAAAAAAAATATGTGTGTCTGTAGAGATAGAAAGGCAATGATAAAGCCTGATCTTGAAGGCACATGGGAATACTCTTATTATATATGTATGTATATATCTATACATATATAGTACCTATATCGCTCTATATAGAGACATCTATGGAGATATAGATATATAGATATAGACATATCTATATAGATGTAGATATATAGATATAGACATATCTATATAGATGTAGATATATAGATATATTTTTAAAGTAACTTCTACACCCAACCTGGGGCTTGAACTCACAACTCCAAAATCAAGGGTCCCATGCTCTATGGACAGAACCCGCCAGCCACCCCGTCTGTGTTATTTTTGCAACTTTTCAGTAAATCAAATTATTTTAAAACGAAAAGCTTTTGGGGCGCCTGGGTGGCTTAGTCGGTTAAGCGTCCGACTTTCTCTTGGGTCATGATCTTGCAGTTCATGGGTTCGAGCCCCGCGTCGGGCTCTGTGCTGACTGTCGGCTCAGAGCCTGGAGCCTGTTTCAGAGTCTGTGACTCCCTCTCTCTCTGACCCTCCCCTGCTCACGCTGTCTCTCTCTGTCTCCTAGAAATAAAAAAAAAAAAAAAAAAAAAAAAAAAAAAAAAAAAAAAAAAAAAAAAAAAAAAAAAAAAAACAGTAAAATAAATAAATAAATAAATAAAACGAAAAGCTTTAAATGATAACCCTTTCTAAGTTTTCCTTCTGGGTCTTATATAATATTATCATTGAGACATTAAATTGCTTCATAAAGAGAAATGATTTTTAGGATTGACGTCCCTAACTGTACACTTCCTATATATTGGAACTATGTAATGACATTTTCATATAAAACCACCTTTCAGGGGCAGTATAGCCTTATCCTCCTAATGGAGACAATGGGTTCAGCAAAACTCATAAAACAATAAAATGCCATCATTTATTTTTAAAAAATTTTTTAATGTTCTATTTATTTCTGAGAGAGAGAGAGAGACAGCATGAGTAGGGGAGGGTCAGAGAGAGAGGGAGACACAGAATCTGAAGCAGGCTCCAGGCTCTGAGCTAGCTGTCAGCACAGAGCCCAACGCAGGGCTTGAACCCACAAACCGTGCGATCATGACCTGAGCCAAAGTCGGCTGCTTAACCAACTGAGCCACCCAGGCACCCCTAAAATGCCATCATTTAGACTTTTCATGGGAACTATCTGTATAAAGACTGAGATTCAGCAAAGTCTCTTGATTTTTTTAATCCCAAAATACTGGCTGGTAATCAAATATTACCCGCACTGGTTTCTCAGCTCTCGGGCATGTAGGGGAGACTCTCTCTTTAACTGTTGAGCCGTTTCAAAATTCTGAAAATATTTTCAAACCTCCCCCACTTCAGGAGGGACAGTCAAAGTACAGTGGACCCAAATGCCTTGAGTCACGCCTTTGAGTGATACTCATCACTAGGAGACCCTCAACACAAGAACAACAATGACATGTAAAGTATAATGAGGGGGGGCTCTGTGTGCTCTCCACCTTGGAAATAACAGCATAGCAAGCCAGAAAACCTTCTGAGCACAGGTTGCCAAGCACTGAAGGGCTCCTTCCAGTGCCTATAGCTCACATGACTTTTCTTCTGGAAACAGGAAGCCCAGGACTTGAGACCCCAACTCCCCCAGTGACAGTTGATCAAGTCTGACCGTTCGTTCGCAGAAAAGGTAGCACTGCCATCCAGTGAAAGCAAGCAAAACCCCACACCTGCTTTTGCAAGATTTTCCAAGTTCCCAGGGCAAATAGAGTGAAGAGGAGTCACAGGTTGGGGGCGGCGGGGGCAGAGATCTGGGGAAAGAACTTTCCAGGCAGAAGCAAGTGCAAAGGTCCTTAGGTGCAAACAACGCCAGTGTGTGTGTTCGCAGAACAGAAAGGAAGCTAGTGTGTCTGAAGCCTCCTATTGGAAGGGAAAGAAGAGATCAGGGGGGTGGGGGATGGGCGGACAAAATGCGTGGCCTTGCAGCCATGGGAACGGACCTGGTACGGTTTGCATTTCTAGAAGACGACTTTGGTTGCAATATGGAGAATCGATTTTTAGGATGTTAAGTAGAAGGCTTGTGAAAATTATCCAGGACAGACAGAATGAGATTGGGCCAGAGTGGAATAAGAAAGTGGATCAAAGTGTAAGGAATCAAGAGATCATGAAAAAATAAGGTCTAAACATGAGACTATGGGTGGGTGAGAAAAAGGAAGGGGTCAAGCATGTCTCTTCGAGTTTGGGTTCCCGTAGATGGAAGTTGGGGGCATTCTGTTTACCATAGGCTTCCTGCCTAAGGGAACCTAAAGGAACCTACTAGATACTAAGAACTGGTAGTCACATTTCACGTGAAGCATTAAACAGTGAGCAGGCAGTTGGGTCTGTTCTGTCACTTTTCGGTGACCTTGGCTCCTAGAAGCTGGCTCTGCAGAGGTCACACAAAAGTGAATTTTAGAGCCACCCAGTGGCCGTAGGAGGTACTGCTGGTGACCTGGTGTGTCCTTCCCTAGCAGAGGTCCGAAGGAACTCACACATCTCAACATTTGATTTGATCTGGTCAGAAAAGAGCTTAGGGGGGGAAAAAGGTTTTATCATGGAAAAAATTCAAATATATGCAAAACTAAAGAAAATAGTATGATGAACTCCTTTGAAGCCTACCACTCTGCTTCAAAAATACCACCGCATGGCCAAACTTGTTTTGGCCGGACTTCCTTCTCCCTCTCTGTCCCACTAGGTTATTTCAAAGCAAATCCCATGCATCACCAAATAGTTGACATTGACCAATATCCATTGCTCAATATCCATATGTGCATGATGAAGTTCACACACTGCACTTGATTAATGGGTCTCTTATATCTTTTGTTTTGTTTTGTTTTAATCTTAGATTTTCCCCCCTCCCTCCCCACGCCTTCTTCTTTTCTTTTCTTGCAATTTCTCTGTTGAAGGCGCTGGGCCATCAGCAGACAGTGTTCTGGTCTTCTCATTTACCATGTTCCTCTGTGTCCAATGTTTCCCGTAAACAGGCCGTTAGATCTAGCACATCCTCCAAAAGTGACCAATCCGTTGTTTTGTTAGGATCATTGTGAACCGACACATTTAACGTCTTTTGTGGGTTTTGTGAGGGAGCAGCTACTCGGCTTTGCTCAATGGTTTTGAGGAAGGAAATAAAAGCCCAGCATTGCCAGAGTCCTGGGGGGTTTGTTGTTCTTGTTTGAAGAGAGGCCAGAAATCCAGTTTCTCACTCCATTTATAAATGTGAGTATCCAACTTAAAAAGTGGTGGGAAAATGACAAGAACACACAAGCCTCGAGCCACCAGCTTTGAGCCTCTGGATCAGCGCTGTCCAACAGAACTTTCTATGATGATGGAAATAGTTCATATTGTTTCTGTCCAATGTGGTACCAAGCTAGCTCCCCGTGGCTACTGAACACTCGAAATGTGGCTAATGGGGCTAAGGAGCTGAATTTTTAAATTTCAAATTAATTTGTTTTTTTATGTTTATTTATTTATTTTGAGAGAGAGAGA